TGCACAGTCGGAGGGTATCGAGGTGGAGTTCGATGAGAAGCTACTCAAGGAGCTCAGCTACCAAGCAACGGGCGATCTCAGCCCGATGGCGGCACTCTTTGGTGGCCTTACTGCCCAGGAGGTGCTCAAGGCCGTATCGGGCAAGTTCCATCCCGTCAAACAGTTCCTGTACTTCGACTCTCTGGAGTCCCTCCCGGCCGGATCTACCCGATCCGAGGAGCTCTGCAAGCCCAGTGGTTCCCGTTACGATGGCCAAATCGCGGTTTTTGGCCGCGAGTTCCAGGACAAGATTGCAAACATCAACCAATTCCTTGTCGGTGCTGGGGCCATTGGCTGTGAAATGCTCAAGAACTGGGCGATGATCGGCCTCGGAACCGGCGAAAAGGGCAAAATCACAGTGACCGACATGGACTCGATTGAAAAGAGTAACCTGAATAGGCAGTTCCTATTCCGGCCCAAGGATGTCGGCCAGATGAAGAGCGAGTGCGCTGCTAGGGCCGCACAGGTCATGAATCCCGAACTCGAAGGCCACATCGTCACGCTAAAGGATCGCGTCGGCGCTGATACCGAGCATATCTTCAATGAGGACTTTTGGAATGGTTTGGATGGTGTCACCAATGCGCTAGACAACGTCGAGGCGAGGACGTACGTGGATCGGCGTTGTGTCTTCTTCCACAAGCCATTGCTGGAGAGTGGTACTCTGGGCACGAAGGGCAACACGCAAGTGGTCCTCCCCTTGCTTACGGAGTCCTACTCCTCGTCGCAGGACCCTCCGGAGCAGTCGTTCCCCATGTGCACGCTGCGGAGTTTCCCCAACAGAATCGAGCACACCATTGCGTGGGCCCGTGAGCTATTTGAGACCTCATTTGTGAAGCCGGCCGAGACGGCAAATCTCTACCTCACACAACCCAACTACTTGGAGACGACGCTGAAGCAGGGCGGAAACGAGAAGGCGACGCTTGAGACGCTTGTCGACTACCTTAAGAATGAGCGGGCTCTCACGTTTGAGGACTGCGTTCAGTGGGCTCGCACGCTGTTTGAGAAGCAGTACAACAACGCGATCCAGCAACTGCTTTACAATTTCCCCAAAGATTCCACCTCCTCAACGGGTACCCCGTTCTGGTCGGGGCCGAAGCGGGCCCCTGACCCGCTCAAGTTCGATGCTGGGAACAAGACACACTTTTCGTTCGTCGAGGCGGCAACGAATCTGCACGCCTTCAACTACAACATCAACCTCAAGGGCAAGACGAGGCAAGACTACATCCAGGCCCTGGATTCGATGATCATTCCGGATTTCTCGCCAGACGCTAGTGTCAAGATCCAGGCCGACGACAAGGACCCGGTAAGTTGGTTCTAGCAGAGAAATCTCCAACCTGACTAACTAACGCGATGCAGGACCCGAACGCTGGTGCTGCGGCCTTTGATGATGAGTCCGAACTTAAGAACCTCGTCAACAGCCTGCCGGATCCTAAGACACTGGCTGGTTTCAAGTTGACGCCGGTGGATTTTGAGAAGGACGATGACACCAACTACCATATCGACTTCATCACAGCCGCAAGCAACCTGCGCGCCGAGAACTACAAGATTGAGCAAGCGGACCGACACAAGACGAAATTCATTGCCGGAAAGATTATCCCGGCGATTGCGACGACCACCGCGCTCGTGACGGGCCTGGTCGTTTTAGAGCTGTTCAAGATCATCGACGGGAAGACCGACATTGAACAGTTCAAGAACGGATTCATCAACCTGGCGCTACCCTTCTTCGGTTTTAGCGAGCCTATCGCTAGCCCCAAGGTGGAGTATGAAGGTCCCAACGGCAAGGTGACGCTGGATAAGATTTGGGATCGGTTTGAGATTGGAAACGTCACGCTGCAAGAACTGATCGACGACTTTGAGAAGCGTGGGTTGACAATTGCCATGCTGAGCTCTGGTGTCAGCCTTTTGTTCGCATCCTTCTTCCCTCCGGCAAAGCAAAAGGACAAGTTTGGCATGAAGCTCAGCGAGCTGGTGGAGGCGGTCACGAAGAAGCCAATCCCTTCGCACTTGACGGAGCTCATCTTTGAGGTGGTCACGGAGGATGCCAAAGGCGAAGACGTGGAGGTGCCGTACATCAAGGCCAAGATCCGGTAAATGTTAATGCGGGACCACGGGGGGGGCGGAGACAGAGATACGGACGAAATTGAGTGTACAACTGTAGATTGCCTGACGAGGCCTTGCTAGGAAATAGACATTGCGTATGTTACATTTCGCCCTGTTAGCAGCTAACCTGAATGTTGCGGAGACATAGTGAGCACGGTGTGGTCCGCTTGATCGGCCATGTCTCCTGTTTCCCTAGCTTCTTGGTCCCTTACTCATCAACCGCTAGGGAGGTACGTGTGCGGAGTTTGGGGACCTGAACCGAGAAATTACGTCACCATTTGTCAGTTTTGTTGAGACATGAACGGTACATACGGGACTTCACTACGAAGGCGATGCACGCCATCGAAGGTTTTCAGCGGCGGTTTGGGGGACTTGGAGACGCCTGTTCATCTAATACGTCTTTCCGTCGACTATGTAGCCAAAAAGTAAGCTTTGGCATGGTGCATGTCAGTCCTGACATACCGCGGTTACCCTAGTCAAAGTGCAGTAGCAGATGCAGGGGCTTACCAAGCATCCACACAGGCTAAACCAGTGACGACTAACAACTGACAGATCCAAGTCGTGAAAGTGGCCGAGGCTTTTCGTTCAGCACAACTGGGCAAACAGTCTGATCTGATTCAGCTGGTTTCTACTATGTGTTTCCGTAGTTTCATGCACCCCGCCAGGACTCCCCACACGCACATAATATATGAGACGTGCATTACGCAGCAAGCTCGAATTCCGCATCCGGTAACTCGCAGCGGTTCGAGTCTAGCTTAAAACCCCTCCTCTATCACGACCATCCACCTACTTATCACCTCACCACCACCATCTCTTAATCATCCAACCTCGGGCGTCTATTCTTGATGAGCTTAAGAACTGGCATCCGCCAACTTGGAAACAGCATCTCGCCACACTTGTTCACGAAAAGATTTGCTTGTCGTCAGTCCCGGAGTTTTACTTCATCTCTCAAGCCTCTCACCCTGAATCGACCCCTGAATCAGTCAAATAATTTGGGGACTAGATACCTTGCAACCATGGTAAGTAGTGACTGTGTTGAACCTAGAATGGTACGTGTGGTCCATATGTACTAACTCTCACCTCCCTCTCTTCCTCCCTACGCCAGGCTACCAAGGATACCGCTCCTGGCACCAAAATCACCGACTGGGTCCTGCCTAGTGATAAGTCGGGCGAGTTCAAGCGCCAGCAGAGCTCATTCCGTAACTGGATTTCGCGCGAAGCCGGGGCCGAATTCCCGCCGGAGAAGGGCAGGTATCACTTGTTTGTGAGCTTTGCTTGTCCGTGGGTGAGTACCCCCCCTGGTTTCAGTCTCCCTCTCTTCCTAGAGGTATGGCTTGTAATTAGAGACTAATGGGAATAGGCTACCCGCACGTTGATTGCGCGCAAGCTCAAGGGTCTGGAGGATGTCATCTCCTTCTCTGCCGTGCATTGGCATATGTCTCCCAAGGGTAAAGTGCCACCCGCTCAGTTCACACCCTTGTCTTCCCCTACGTACTAATACGGCCGGGTTTTCCAGGCTGGCGCTTCCCCACGGCTGAAGACACCGATGCTGCGGGTGAGAATGTGATACCGGATCCGCTTGAGGGCCATGAGAGCTTCACCCACCTGCGTGACGTCTACTTCCAGGTGAACCCCTCGTACGAGGGTCGCTTCACCGTGCCCGTGTTGTACGACAAAAAGACCAAGACTATTGTCAACAACGAGAGCAGTGAGATTCTGCGCATGTTTGGTACTGAGGTTTGTAGGCTCCGTTTTACTCTCTCTCCCCTCCCTACCAGGGTGAGGATCCCGGAGATTCAATGGCTTACCCAAAACAGTTCAACGACCTTATCGACGAAAAGTACCGCCAGATTGAATTCTACCCAGAGGCCCTTCGCAAGCAGATCGATGAGACGCACGAGTGGCAGTACGACAAGATCAACAACGGCGTGTACAAGGCTGGGTTTGCCACGACCCAGGAGGCATATGAGCGTGCCGTAACGGCTTTGTTTGAGGCGCTTGACCGTGCCGAGGAGCATTTGAAGAAGACGGCCCACGAGGGCCCGTTCTGGTTTGGCAAGACCATTACGGAAGTGGATATTCGCTTGTGAGTTTTCCACAGTTATTTTGCTTTTTGGCCCGGGCCAGTACTCACCATGTTACCAATAGGTTCGTGACCATCGCCCGGTTTGATGTAAGTTTCCCTCGAGATCCCCCTATCCCCCTTGTTTCTAGAATCAGCCCTCAACTAACCCCCTCACAGCCCGTCTACGTCCAACACTTCAAGTGCAACATCCGCGACATCCGCTCCGGCTACCCAGCCATCCACCACTGGCTGCGCCACCTGTACTGGAACATCCCGGCCTTCCACGACACCAACAACTTCCTGCACATCAAGAACCACTACACCAAGTCGCACACCCAGATCAACCCGTACTCTATCACCCCTCTTGGACCGCTCCCGGATATCTTGCCGCTGGATGAGGAAGTGCGTGCGGTGGCTCAAAAGTAGGGTGGCTGAGCGCAAACTGGGAGGAGTGAAAGTAACTAGGGGTTCCTCATGTAAACGATGTTATCCCGCAGAGGGTAGCTAAGGATGATATGAGTAGATATCCAATGAAGCCGAGCACCTATTGCCGAGCAGTGAAATGCAAATCCATCTTTTCACCCCATTAAGCAGACCATATTATACATAACCCCCTATTTGTAGGTAACTCTCCGAGTCTCCTTTATCACAAACCAAGGGTTAGGGTTACAACACCCCACAACCACCGACCACACAAACTCCACCCAACTCCACTCCCACCAAAAAAACCCCCCCCAAAAAACCTCACGCACTTAACAAAGATTCCCGACTTCTGTTCTTCAACATCCAATCAAAAGGCAAGGTGGCCGAGCGGTCTAAGGCGCCACGTTAAGGATTAATCCTTAATTAACTCCTCCCTTCTGGAGGGAGAAGATTCCCCGTGGTCCGAAAGGGCGTGAGTTCGAATCTCACCCTTGTCAGATATCTTTTGTTTTTGCTGGCAGGCCTGGAGTATTTTGGTTACTTTTTTGTCTCTGTCCGTTGTTTCTCTTAGGGGGATTTATTGTTCTTGGGTGGGTAATGGGTTGTAATTAACTTCCATGTTGTGGGATGGGAATCTACATACATAGCCGTCGATGTACCTACCTTGACAATTCAAGATATTAAAATGAAGAATAACTTATTATCAGAGGCAACCACTTTAAGCTCCAAGTAAACACAAAGGCATACATACTCAGGTAAACACAAAGACACACACACTCAAAAAAACACAAAGACATAGACACACACAGCAAGTCACCACCAAACACAAAACCAACACCAACTTCTCATTCTCATTCTACCTCTCCAACTAACACCCTCCTCCCTCCTCCATCCTCTCTGCTCAGCTACCCATCTTCTTTTCCAACAACAACACACCACCTCTCTTCCCACACACCCCATCCATCAATCCATCCATGCAAAGCATTATATTATTTCCAATGGAGAGAAAAAACGCAAACCCAAAAAGAGAGAGAAACGTCTGGCTAGTCTTCCTCCCTGCAAACCAACAAGCGGAAAAGGGTTACACCCACTCGGCATTCCGGTAGATAAGGTAGTGCTAGTGCGTACAATCCATCCATCCACAGCTGGGCTTTGTATGTATGTATGTACACACGTACTATTACTACCCAAACCATAACATGACGGTGATTGACAATCAATGACCCCCGAGTGAGCGAGAGAGAGGGAGACAGAGAGAGAGAGACAGTACACATGCTAAAAACAGGAGGAGGAAAGAAGAACCAAAAAAAGTTCAGAACTCGCTGCTGCCGGCCAAGACGCTTTCCCTTATTAGCTTGCAAGAACAAAAAAAGAGCCAAGGCCGGCAATGATAATACTAATAGTGTAGTAGTAGGTGTAGTAGTAGTGGTGGTGGTGGTGGTCAGACAACCCAAAAATGAAAAGGACAGACAAGGAAAAGAGAGAACAAGAAAAAAACCAAAAACCCCCAGAGCTAGTAGATACAAAACAGATTTATAAACCAACGAGGAAAAAACCCTTATGCATGCATGCGTTGCGCGCCAATTTCCAGTCTACTACAGTTGTCCAGAAAGAATTGCTTCCGTTGCTGTGAACAAAAAAAGTCAGTTATACGGTTACTCTAAAACAGCGGTGTCAAGGAGAGGAAGGAAAAGAAAGGAGAAAAGAACTCACCGCTATTAATATAAGCCCTCCTCGAATCAAGCGGCACGCCAAACCGGCGTTCCAACTCCAGCTTGACCCCCTTCTTGGTCACCGTCATGAGATCCGCCGTCCGCAGAATCTCCCTAATCTCCGCCAGGAGCGCATCATCACTAGGCATGCCCGCCAGGTTGGCCATCTCCAGCTCCTGCTGCGACGGCGCGGGGCCCATGAACTGCGACCCGCCAAACTGGCTCTGCCGGTTGTTGTTACCACCGCCGAGCATCTCCGACGCCGCAACCGACATGCGGCTGCCAGCGCCTGGCATGGCCGGGTATCCCGAGATGGAGCCGGGACGGCTGGGTGTGTACCCACCGTACTCCGACATGGGGACGTTGGGGCGGGTAGCGTAGGAGTAGCCCGAGGCCTCGGAGCGGTTGTCGTCGTGCAGGCCGCCGGCCTGGGTCTGAGCCTCCCACAACTCGGCCTGGTACTCCTCCCACTTCTTGCGCGGAATGCTGGCGGGGTCAAACTTGCCCTCGTCCGAGATGACGATCTTCTGGCCCTTCTCACCAGCCACGACACGTGTGTTACCCCAGTTGAAGTCGTCCATGTGCCAGAACGAGTACAGCGGGAGCGCAAAGCTGAACACGGGAACGGCTAGGATGTACAGAATCATCCAACCAATCATTTCCCACTTGCGGCGCAGGATGAAAATGATAGCCTGCAAACCGTAGATCGCACCGATAAGGACAAACGCCGTGATAGGGACGACTGTTGCCTTCTGTGCGACCATGACAACGAGATAGACGATGTAGGCAAGGGTAACCGGCTGAACAATGGTGGACAGGAGATCGACAAAGACGATGAAGCGCATGCTGAAGCAGCAGAAACCGCAGAGCTGGTTGAGCGGGATGAGTTCCATCAGGTTGTGCACGGTCGAGTTGATCCAGCGACGACGTTGCGAGAGGAACACCTGCCACGAGTCGGGAGCGATGGTCCAAGCGTGGGCGCGGAAGATGTACTTGGTCTTGTACTTGTTGTGGTACTTGAGCAGCAGTGTCGTCAGGTAACGATCCTCACCCAAGTGAAGCAGGTTCTTCATGTGCAGCGTGTCCACACGGATGGTTGAGTACGCCTCGACGACCTCGCGGCTGACAAACAGCGGCTTGCCCGTCTCGGCAGCGCGGATGCGGTACATGGAGAAACAACCGGGCAAACACGTGACGGAGCCGAACAGCGACTCGAAGGCCTTGGACAGATTGTGCGAGATGTAGTACTCGTAAACCTGGATCATGGTCACGAAGGAGGCCTTGGCGTTGGTCAGCGCGGTTTCACCGCACACTGCGATGAGGCGGGTGTCGTCGAGGAAGGCGGAAACCATGCGTGTAGCCGAGTCGGGCGCCACGACTGTGTCTGCGTCGATCTGGAACAGATATTCGTAAAAGGTCGGGTTGACGCCAATGATGTTGCGGATCTGGTGGTACATCTCGAGCTCAAGCGGGCTCATGGCCAGGTTGTAGTGCACGCGGTTGAGGAAGCGCATCAGGATCATCTGCGAGTCACGCTTGCCACGGTTACCCGGGCGAGACACCTCGGACGGCTTACCAATCTTGACCACAACGAGGAAAGGCACAATGTGGCCCTGCACTTCGTAAAGACCGGAGTAGACCTTGCCCATGTTGTGCTGCTTCTGGCCTTCACCAAGAGACTCGAAGCTGAGCGGTTCGGGATCCACCGCCTCAGACACGCCCAGAATATCCAGCACGATGCGCGGGGTCGGGCGATCGTTGCCCTGGCCGATAATCATACCGTCGCAGATAATGACCAGCAGCTTGCGCTTGTCATCGTACTGCATGCGGGCGGCGGAATCGACGGCACGGCGGATGGATTCTTCGTCTTCCGTGTAGGCGGGAATCTGGCACATGACGAACTTGTCCAAGTTCTCAGGCATGTTCTTAGTCCCGAACTGGAGCGCGGCGAAGAACTTGAAGGCGATGACACTGGCCAGCAGAATGGACACGGCCAGGACCAGGTACTCGGCAAACTTGCACCGGGCAGACGAACGGGTGTCCACATCGGCCACGTAAAAGAGGTTGTCGAGACACAGCTGCATGCGCTGCTTGGTCTGCTTGTCGAGGCCGAGAGACTGCCAGAGCGCGGTAATGTCGTCGCCGGACCGCTGCTCGAAGAGGTCGACCACGAGCGGGTGCAAGAAGTTGACGGCGTTCGGGTCCGTCGGGGGTGGTTGATCGGGCGGGCTCTGTTGCCGCCTGCCGTTGGCCGCGTACATGGTCAAATCGTAGATACGGCCGTTAAGGATGGCAATGGTCTGCGACTTGCCACTAAGCGTGGACACATATTCGGCCGAGTAGGCCACATTGCCGACCTTGTAGTTGGACCTCATCATCTGAATCTGCTGCGAGAACCAGTCTGGGCGATAGTCGCCCGTGAACCAGCGGAAGTCGTGGTACTTGGCGTTGACGTCCTGGCCGCTGATAACAGCCGCCAACCCGGTGACGTTAGAATTCCGGTAGTCGAGCAGCACCGACTCGTCGACCTGGCCGTTCGGTCCTTGGCAAAGCGCCGACACCTGGACGGGGAAGAGCGAAGTAATATCCTTGCCGCTGTACTGGGTGAGCATCTTGGTCGGGATATACCTTGGGTAGTGGCGCGGGATGAAGCCGCCAATGTCAAAGACCTGACCGCGGATGGCGGCGTAGGCGCTGCGGCCGTCCTGGCCGTCGTAGGAAGAGAGCTCATCCGGACTGAAGACGTATTGCTTGGGGCAGATCAACATGGGGAAGACGACGATGAAGAAGGCGGAGAGGAGACAGCTGAACCAGATGATCATGTTGATGGCCAGCTTCTCACGCCACGCCATCCGCACGTCCTTGCGCGGCATACGGCCCAGCTTGCGGACCAAGATGTCGGGCACGAAGAAGGTCAGTAAGTGCACCAGGAAGACCCAGCGTTTGCGGCTGGGGCTGTCTCGATACTCCTCGACCTCCTGCATGTCCTTCTCGTTGCCACGCTCCGCCATCTGCTCGCGTGTGTCGAGGTTCTTGAACATGTCGCCGGCGCCAAACGCCGAGACTCCAGCGTCTGACCGGGCATCCACTTCGGTAGCACTGCTGAAGTAACCGCCCTTCTTCTCGCCGCCGAAGTTGTTCGGCGTGGGACCGCCGCCAGACATGAGCAAGCGCTCCTTGGACACACCGAAGGGGTCCGCCGGCGTGCCCGTGCCGTCACCCGCATCGGAAGGCAGACCGTACCTACCAGACTGCGAATAGTCATCGCCCAGCCGCGCGATCTCCATCCAGCAGCGTTCGCTGAGGAAAACACCAGTGGCACCGATGGCAACCTCGTTGCTCGGCCAGCGCTTTTCGTCAACGATCGACTCCACCTTTTCACGTTCACTGCCCACGAGCATGGTCTCGGTGTCCGCGAGGCCGAGGAACTCGCCAAAGGGCAGGAACACGCTGAAGTCAGCGGAGCGCAGGCGTTGGCTGATCTCCGCAATACCAAATGTCTGCAACTGCCCGCGCACGCACTTGCTATCGAACTGGTTCGCAATACGCCTGTCGTTGGGCTTGAGGCAGAACACAAAGTAGCAGTTCGTGCCCGGTGCCGTGATGGATTTGGTGACATTGTTGAGCGCAGAGAGGAATTGGCCGGACGCGCCCTGCTCCGAAGTACCGAATGTACTGGCCCGCTTGGCATCGCCGGCGTCGCTGCCTTGATCAGAGAGGTCTCCGGCATTAGCAGCAGCAGCCCGGTTGCGAGCAGCCAGGTTGCCGTTCCGCCCACGCTTCAC